GATCTAAATTTTCAAATATTTTAACATTAAAATAAAATTAAAATTCTTTAGTGCAAGCCTAAAGAAGTTAAAATTAGAAGTTAAAATTGGAAGTTAACTGAAGTTTTTTTTAAAAAAAACTAGCAAAACAAGAGCTTTTTGGTGCATCTGATATATCCTATTTAAAGATCTTTACAGTAAAGCTTGAATCTGTTTTTTACAAAAAAAAGTTAAAATTACTTTGCTGGGCATCACCCAGCATGAGCAACATTCACAAGTTTACTACCGTATGTTTGGCAGAAACACCCTCTAAAAATATAGACGCAAAATCTTTTAAATAATTTGTATTTTCCCTACACTCCATATGATCTGAGTTTACAGGAAATTATCCACAGCTGTCCCAGTGAATCTACACATATTGCACCAAAGTGGTTTCTCTTCAATATAACAACAGCTCTCCTCACTGCAAAGCTTTGAAATCTTGAGTTTATCACAGTTGTCATAAAGATAAACTCTCTGTATGCCACTTTATTTATTCTGACACACTATTCTTCAGCAACTACTGAGATGTACTCAGATCAGCAGCCCTATCCCGCTTGCTCACAAAACGCATATAGGACTAATCTGTTCATTTAAAGCCTGAAACCTTTGTTAAACAACTGGTTGAAAACCATACCTCTTGACAACTGGATAAACAATTAGTTTTGATAGTTTAATTCAGAATTGTATTGTTAGTATTTTGGGAGTAATATTACAATAATAGCTATTCCTGTTGCCTGAGCAGCTATCACTAACGTTAATGATATAGTGGCAGAACTAAACACTTACAAACATACGGTTACAATCCAGTTCTGTCACATATAAAACAGTGAATGTAATCCAATTTATTCTGTTAATAGTAATTAATTACTTGGTCCAACTCTAGTGGTCATGCAAGGACAGCAGTAGTTTAAAAAAAACACTATTATCTTCTCAGAGCAGCCAGGGACAGGCAACAAACACTGGCCTACCATATTTAAACCATATCAAATACAGTTTTGTTTACAAAACAACACTGTTTATTTAAAAAGTTTACAGGAGTAACTTTAAATTCACCAGTTGCCTCTAACTCAACAGTATGAATAGATTTAAATATTTTAAATTAAAATAAAGCCAGAATAATAAAGGAATAAGCAAAATTGTTTTTAAAATGTTGACTTTTATTTAAAATTATGGCCCAATGGGTAAGGACATCATCTACAGTAGCATTTCACCAGAAGATTGCAGATTCAAATCTTGAACAGTGCTATGTTAGCTTTATCTCAGCCAGGCTGTAGTAGGGCAATAAATTAATGCTTGCATTTGATACAGCGCCTTACCACATTGTTGATAAGCTTCAAAGGATATACAGTAAAATGGATTAATTGTGTATTTTGTGGGAGAAATGCAGCAGTCAACTGTGCACAGCAATCAGTTGTGCCAGCAATGTTCCACAAACAGCCATGGAATGAGTGACCAATTTTATTTGGAGAATTGTTGGTCAGGATACCGGGAGAGGGAAACTCCCTTCTTTTTGAAATAGTGACATGGGATCTTTAACATTCACCTGAACAGGCAAATGGGACCTTGGTTTATTGTCTCATCCAAAGGACGGCATCTCCGACAATATAACATTCCTCCGGCACTGCATTGGGGTATCAGCTGAAAACTATCAGCTTAAAACTAAAAATTTACAATTAAAATTCCTGACGTGGGGCTTAAACCCACAATCTTCTGAATCAGGAGGTGAGAGTGCTACTACTGCGTCAGCTGACACACTCGCGCCGCGGTAGCCTAGACATTGAAATTGAAACTAAAATTGGTATCAGTTTCTCTGATTACAGGGAAGCAGAGGGAGAAAGGGGAACAGACTGGGTTCCAGCTCCTGATCATTAAATGATGCCCGATGTGTTCACGTCAAGTAAGTATTCGATCAGGTTGTATTGCCCTTCAGAGGAAAATAGCCTGCTGACACTTATAGTCAGGATTTGGATATGCAGAATGACAACTTGGGCAGAGTACTACCGATACCGGTGGCACTGCACCCCAGGAGCAGGAAAAAAGCAAATGTGATCAAGGGAGGGGGAGAAAACCAAAAAGTCTCCAACAATAATTTACACCCATAAAGCATCTTTCACATTGGGAGAATATCTCATTGCCTTATAAAGTGGAGTCCTGTAGCTCAGTGGTTAGAGCACTCGCTTTGCAAGTGAGAGACCTGAGTTCAATTCCAGGCAGAGGGCGAAACCTTGGGCAAGTTTCCTTACTCCACACAGAGCCTAATAATAATCCCTCCAAAACCCAAAACAATAATTAAATTGGTCATTTTCAATCTACGACTGTTTGTGGGACATTGCTGTGTGCAATTGGCTGCCGCGTTCGCCCACAAATATACAGTCAATTCACTTTACAGTGTATTCTGTGAAGCGCTTTGGGACGTCCTCCCGACATGAAAAGCGCTATATCAAATGCAAGGATTATTATTATTATTATTATTATTATAACTAGGGATGTTCAGGGAACCATGGAGGAGTGTCTGAGATGATGAAGAAGGAGTGGTCAACAGTGTCAGGCAGCAGAGATGGAGGAGGACAAGCAGCCCTGATGACTGACGGAGAGAATTTTGTTTGTGACTTTCACCAGAACTATCTCAATTTGGTCGTACCATCTTTAAACCATATCAAATACAGTTTTGTTTACAAAACAACACTGTTTATTTAAAAAGTTTACAGGAGTAACTTTAAATTCACCAGTTGCCTCTAACTCAACAGTATGAATAGATTTAAATATTTTAAATTAAAATAAAGCCAGAATAATAAAGGAATAAGCAAAATTGTTTTTAAAATGTTGACTTTTATTTAAAATTATGGCCCAATGGGTAAGGACATCATCTACAGTAGCATTTCACCAGAAGATTGCAGATTCAAATCTTGAACAGTGCTATGTTAGCTTTATCTCAGCCAGGCTGTAGTAGGGCAATAAATTAATGCTTGCATTTGATACAGCGCCTTACCACATTGTTGATAAGCTTCAAAGGATATACAGTAAAATGGATTAATTGTGTATTTTGTGGGAGAAATGCAGCAGTCAACTGCGCACAGCAATCAGTTGTGCCAGCAATGTTCCACAAACAGCCATGGAATGAGTGACCAATTTTATTTGGAGAATTGTTGGTCAGGATACCGGGAGAGGGAAACTCCCTTCTTTTTGAAATAGTGACATGGGATCTTTAACATTCACCTGAACAGGCAAATGGGACCTTGGTTTATTGTCTCATCCAAAGGACGGCATCTCCGACAATATAACATTCCTCCGGCACTGCATTGGGGTATCAGCTGAAAACTATCAGCTTAAAACTAAAAATTTACAATTAAAATTCCTGACGTGGGGCTTAAACCCACAATCTTCTGAATCAGGAGGTGAGAGTGCTACTACTGCGTCAGCTGACACACTCGCGCCGCGGTAGCCTAGACATTGAAATTGAAACTAAAATTGGTATCAGTTTCTCTGATTACAGGGAAGCAGAGGGAGAAAGGGGAACAGACTGGGTTCCAGCTCCTGATCATTAAATGATGCCCGATGTGTTCACGTCAAGTAAGTATTCGATCAGGTTGTATTGCCCTTCAGAGGAAAATAGCCTGCTGACACTTATAGTCAGGACTTGGATATGCAGAATGACAACTTGGGCAGAGTACTACCGATACCGGTGGCACTGCACCCCAGGAGCAGGAAAAAAGCAAATGTGATCAAGGGAGGGGGAGAAAACCAAAAAGTCTCCAACAATAATTTACACCCATAAAGCATCTTTCACATTGGGAGAATATCTCATTGCCTTATAAAGTGGAGTCCTGTAGCTCAGTGGTTAGAGCACTCGCTTTGCAAGCGAGAGACCTGAGTTCAATTCCAGGCAGAGGGCGAAACCTTGGGCAAGTTTCCTTACTCCACACAGAGCCTAATAATAATCCCTCCAAAACCCAAAACAATAATTAAATTGGTCATTTTCAATCTACGACTGTTTGTGGGACATTGCTGTGTGCAATTGGCTGCCGCGTTCGCCCACAAATATACAGTCAATTCACTTTACAGTGTATTCTGTGAAGCGCTTTGGGACGTCCTCCCGACATGAAAAGCGCTATATCAAATGCAAGGAATATTATTATTATTATTATTATAACTAGGGATGTTCAGGGAACCATGGAGGAGTGTCTGAGATGATAAAGAAGGAGTGGTCAACAGTGTCAGGCAGCAGAGATGGAGGAGGACAAGCAGCCCTGATGACTGACGGAGAGAATTTTGTTTGTGACTTTCACCAGAACTGTCTCAATTTGGTCGTACCATCACTCCCCGAAGAGATGCAAAGATAATAAACAGGGCTTTGAGCTCAGGCTAAACTTTGTGGCAGTTCCATCGCCCTCCCACTCAGTGCAAGGCATCCAGCTGTGCAACACCAGCCTTCACGCCCCATCGGACGGCAGGCAAAGTTGCGCCCGGAGAGCAAGAAACCCTGCTTGCTACGCTGCTGGTCGTGTGTGTCCAGGGATGTGACTCCGGCTCTGTCAGCCAGTGCAAGTCCGGACGTAGCGGATGGTTTGCACGCAGCAAAACCCCCACAAACAGCCATGGCGTAAGTGACCAATTTTATTTGGGGGGATTGTTGGCCAGAACACTGCGAGAAACACCCTTCCCTTTCCAAGTAGCGCCGCGGGATCTTTAACATCCACCTGAACAGAGAAGACAGGACCTCGGCTTAACGTCTCGTCCAGGATGCCTGAAGCGAGAGGGTGAGGGGAGTGCAAGGAAAAGCCCCTTTTATTTAGAGAAGGCAGAGAGAGAGAGAGGGAGAGAGAGATGGGGCTGGTGCTCTCTCTGTCTAACTTCCTCTTTCTGTTCGCACTGACTGACAGACAAACCAACCACAGCGAAAGTTTCGTATTTGAACAAACACACACACACACACACACAGAGAGAGACGACCAGCGTGTGAAGTGGGATCTGGCCTTTACCTGTGATCAGGCTCCTCACGTCCCCGGGGAGACTCTCCATCTTCAACCCCCCGCCCCCGGGCTCGAGCGTCCCTCACACACACACACAACACACACACCATCCGCCAACCGCCACCCGCCGCGCGTGCGCCTGCGCCGCCCGTGCGGAAGTCAGCGCCGACTCGCGGCGGACGCTCACTGCGGCTGCGCGGTGTCGGACGCGTGCGGCGAGGGAGAGGGAACAGCGGTTGGTTGCCGGCCCTGCCCTCGCACGCTTCTGATTGGATCGCTACTCTCGCTGCTTTCCCCGATTGGTCAGTTCGCGATGGGGTTGCATTCTGGGCGCTGATTGGACGCTTCGATCCACCCCCCCCCCCCGCTCCCTCACCTGTACGTTTCTTATTGGTTGGATTCTGGCTGCCCCAGATTCTGATTGGCTACAACCTGTCTTTGTGGAGCTTCACCTGGTCCTCATCCCCTCCCATCCATGATGAGGTTTCTCTTTGCAATTTTTTCATTGTAATTGCTAAATACCTGGCCACGGAGTGGGAGGATGGAGGGAAGACAAATAATTTGCTGCTAAAAGCATAGAAAAACAAGGGCCGAGGAAAGGCCATTCAGCCCATCAATCCCATTCCATCCATAGTATTCCATCCCAGAGTCCCTCTGACTCGCTCCCCTCGTTCACCTCATTCAAGGTCTGCCTTAAGACCTACCTATTTGACGACACTTTTGGTCATCTTTCCCTTCCCCAACCCCTTGGCTCCCACACCCAGCTGGGTGTCAAGCCAGTAATATTATAATAATATAATAATGATAATAGTAATAATCTTTGCATTTGATATAGCGCTTTTCATGTCTTCTCGACATCTCATAGCGCTACACAGAATATGCTGTAAAGTGAATTGACCGTGTATTTGTGGGTGAAACGCGGCAGCCAATTGGGCACAGCAGTGTCCCACAAACAGTCGTGGATTGAAAATGACCAATTTATTATTGTTTTGTTTTGGAGGGATTATTATTAGGCGTGTGGAATAAGGAAACTTGTCCAAGGTTTCGCCCTGCCTGGAATTGAACCCAGGTGTCTCGCTTGCAAATCGAGTGCTGCTCTAACCACTGAGCTACAGGACTCCATTGAGCGCCTTGGGACATTATCACGAGTGTGAAAGGAGCTATATAAATGTAAATTTGTTTTGTATCCCAAAACCTACCTTAACCCATCATGGATCTCAACCATAATAATAATAAAAATAATCCTTGCATTTGATATAGTGCTTTTTACATCTTCTAGACGTCCCAAAGCGGTTGACAGAATATACTGTAAAGTGAATTGACTGTATATTTGTGGGCGAACGCGTCAGCCAATTGCGCACAGCAGTGTCCCACAAACAGTCATGGATTGAAAATGACCAATTTATTATTGTTTTGTTTTGGAGGGATTATTATTAGGCGTGTGGAGTAAGGAAACTTGCCCAAGGTTTCGCCCTGCCTGGAATTGAACCTAGGTGTCTCGCTTGCAAGGCGAGTGCTCTAACCACTGAGCTACAGGACTCCTTGCATTTGATATAGCGCCTTATCATGTCTTTGAGATGTCTTAAAGCGCTTCACAGAATATACTGTAAAGTGAATTGATTGTATATTTTGTGGATGAAATGTGACAGCCAATTATGCACAGCAGTGTCCCACAAACAGTTGTGGATTGAGTGACCAAATTATTATTTTTTGACCCAGAAAAACGATCCACCAATCGACTAACAGCTGGCTTCCTACTTACTGCTTGGTAAACAGAGACGTGTGGAGTAAGGAAACTTGCCCAACATTTCGTCCTGCCCAGGAATTGAACCTAGGCAATTGAACTTGCAAGGCAAGTGCTCTAACCACTAAGCTACAGGACTCCACAAACCATATAGTTTCCAAGGCAAAAGTTATGCATTTATACTTTGGTTGAAAATCAAGCAAAAGAACATTTTCCAGAACATTTTTCATAGCTGCACCTTCTGACCACCTTCTCTATATTGTGTCCCATGACATGTTTGCTTAATCTCAGTCTGTACCTTATGCAGAGAAAATAAAAAAGTGAACATTGACATATTTTTGGAGCCACATAGGGAGCTTGGGTAATGGTGAAAGAGAGAGTTCTGTAAAATAGAATCACTCTAAAATGTCGTATCTATTTGGTAAATCAAGGTGGAATTCTCTCTAAATCTGCCTTAAACCCAGTCTCAGAAGAACACTAGTGTGATATTTTTATTTTTCACATCAGCCACCTTTTTTTTTATTTTTGTGCTGAATTGTATAACGAGGCCATGCCAATAGGAACTGACCAACCATTTCACTAAGAACCATACACTTATAAGAGAGAGAGAAGAATTTTTTATCCCATCAGTCTGAGCTGAAAACAGGCTAAAATATAATTCTCTATCAGAAAACACCAATCCAAAAAGATTTTGTAAATTGTCTAGAACTCTGTAACTTTTAAGTTTATTTGCTGATCACCAAAGCGAGAAATTAAAGGAGAAGAGCAAAGGTCGCTGGTTATAATAAACCATATGGTTCTGAAGTTTAGTCTCTTCTATAAACAAAGGAATAATTCTCTAAACAGTTAAGTTTCAATCATAGCTTTGGGTCAGTAAACTGTGTTTTCATCCTGAACTGCAAAGGATCATGTCAAAATGTAAATATACAATGATACAACTATTGTTTCAATGCCATATTCACACTACCAATCTTTATTACTAACTGCCTTTACTGTTTTTCAACTTTTTATTTGAAATTCATAAAAATCAAATGTTGTAAACTGTTGCAACAGAAACTCTTGTGACTATTAACATAACAGCGCTTGAGCAGAATTTTCAGAACAGGCTATTTAAAGAATTGAATGAATTCCAATGAAATGACAAAAGTACTTTTTTTTAAAAAAAGCAATAGGATGTGGGTAACCAGAGCTTTACATATGTAAAGCGAATGCAAAGAACACTGGCTGCTAAAGATTTACAAGTAAAAGCTCCAATGGCATCCTTAGCAAATTAGATTATTCATTGCATTGACATGTTTCAGCAACACTTGTTGACTTAAACATATCTGTGTTTGTACAGACATCACAGATGACCCGCTGCACTTTTAGTATAAATATAAATCCACACCCATCAAATAAAACTAGGTGGTGTCAAGTAAATATGTTAAGAATAGCATCTGACAGTTACCTTACACATTCATTGGCAGTACACAAAGGCTTCATTAAAATACAACCCACGCATTTGGCCTAAAGAAAACAGTAAATGAAAACCAATTACAGTATTTCAATGTTTCACATACCTGGACAATCCACAGAATTGACAATTTAATTTGACTAATTTTACAATATCTTTCAATAAAGGCACAATATTAAAATACAGCTTATGTGCTAAGCAACTGCTATTATGCAGTATGTATTAACAAAACTGTACAGTTGAGGACTGGAATGAGTGTTGCATTTTCTTTGTAGCTTTTTAATTAAAGGAATTTGCTGTGGATAAAATAAATAAACATGTAATAATGGACCAATCAACTGGGAATAAGCTTATTAGGCCAAATGCCTTTTTTATTTCTGAAATAAATTGCAGATTGAAGGAGAATTTGCAAATATATGAACATATATGAATTTTATGAAGGATAGGAATTATGAAAGGAGTGATGCCTCAATTGCAATTTGATTACCCCAGTGTTCACCACAGGTAATTACTAAGGCACACAGCCATATATTTGTAACTGAAGAGAGTTTACAATCTTTTTTTTAGCAGAGAGCATTATATAACAATCTACACTTCCAAAAGCTATTGACTTGTTCCCAGCTTTGCAAATAACATTGTATAATTAGAAATTAAATGAATGTTATTATATAGGCAAATGCAGCTGCTAATTTGTGCCAACAATGTCCCATAATCAACAGGATGACAAGCCAATTCATTTGAATTTAGGGGTAAAAAAAATAGATAAGGAGGGAATATAAACCTGGATAACTAGAAAAAAAAACTTCTTCCAAAAAGCAGCAAAGAGGGCCTAGTGTTCTTAGATAATAAGGCAATAAATAACTAAATGCAGAGTGAATGAAAACAACTTGAAAAAATAATACCAAAAATACCAATCAGTTTGAGAAATCTGTGAGGTGAATAGCCTTTAATATAAAGCACATCTTGTGTCTTGGCTGGTTGTACACCTTCAGATGGTCCGATTAATTTTGATTGAGTTACCACTTGAGGATCAGGTCAATGATTTAAAAGTAATTTTCGCCCATAACAATTTCCATCAGGAATATAAATGAAAAATAATATTTTCTTCTCCCCAATCAAATAGCCTGTAAATCTATGATATTCCTAAGAATAAAAGGTGTTTTATAATCTTAACAATCTGTTCACTTGTTAAAGCCCAAACTATAGTTTTATGTGTGCATGTGTGTGTTTGGAAAAGATGAGAGTGTTTCCACTCTCATTCATTATATCCAAATTTGATCTGCAAGACATATTTTTCCATGCTGTCTCTTGAGATAGGATTAAACTAATACCAAAAATACAATTATCAAAATGCCCTGTCTGTTCTTATATTGTTTCTCTATTGCTTTTCAAACTCGTGATTTGTAATTAATAGTGGAAACTGTTTCCCAAAAGAAAATATCAGCCTAAGATGCTGGAACATTAAATTTAAAAAGTAATTTCAAGCAAAATATATCTTGACTCAGGTCTTCCCCCACTACTGAAGTGATACTTACTCATAGAAATATTGACAAATGGTATTACAAAGCATGATCACTTGCTAACCAGACCCATTGTTTTCAATCATTCACATACCACTGGTTAAAATCCAAATATCTTCAGGAAAAGCAGCTATTTGAAGAATTAGAAAAATTATGCAACTGCATATCAAATGTATATATTTCTATCGAATGGATAGCTCCTTCTGGTGCTTTATTTTATCAGTGTCCCGTTGAATCATATTGATTAAAAATATTGCAGATATTAGTTAATTTATTTGGAAATGTACAATGGGGAATAAATAATAACATGAAAGGTTTACCTTGTTGTAGACATTAAGAGGGTATGGGGAAAGTTCACCTCAGCAAACTCTTCTGAAAGGTGACACCTCCAACAATACAGCATACCCCCAGCACTGCATTGAAATGTCAGTCATAATGTGGGGC